CATCACAGCAACCCTATGAGTAGCTATTAATAGCTAGGAGTAAATACTATCAGCTACATATAGCTAATAAGGATTATTCAGAGGGTCAAGCCCAGCTTAATGGGTCTAGGCAAAGACTACTATGAATAGTTCAAGGGCTCGCTTCCTAGATAGGTTATCAGAATTTTAAAAAATAGCATCGAGATTTAGCAGTACTTCAGGAGGCAGTATTATGAGCAGCCACTAGGAATGTGAAAAATTTGACATTTTTAGGTGTCAATCATGTACCAGACACCATGCTACCTATCTTAATCCAACTACATGATTAAGAAAAGGGAGAGAGAGAAGGGTAAAAAGAAGAAAAAAATTGAAGGGAATGTCAGGACGTTTTAAAAACCACTTGCTGCTGCTCCTAGAATAAGAAGTATAGTTGAGGAAAACTCTTTGCTTAATCACTGGCTAAAAATCACTGAAGCCACTATTAAGTTCTTCGTATTCCCAGGGTTTGACATTGTGCCCTAACAAGAACAGGCACTCAGTCAAAGCTTGATAATAAAAATAAAAGGTCTTCAAGAGCTTGGACTCCTTCCCCTCCTTTACTACCTTGTCACTAAATCATGTTGGTTCATACTTTTTGTCTCTTTATATTCATGTCTTAGCTTTCATTTTTGGCACCATTAACCCAAGGGTCAGACTCTTACACCTCACACATCAAAGATTGCCATCTAATTCTCATGTATCCTACTTCAAGACACCCACATCATTGTTAGCATTAATTCATAATCAACGACAATTGTTATTATGCTTCTATCCTACCCCAAAACCTTCCATTATTCCTCACAATCAAGTACTAGGCTTTTGGAGTGTCTAACCTATCACACTACTTTATCTTTTTTACAAACTCTGTTTTCCAGCCAGCCAAGTTTTTGAGTGCTTAATGAATACAACAGGTTCTTTCCCACTTACTTACAACTTTGCCTCCATATGAAATACTCTTCCCTGTCCCTCTTCTCTCACTCCTAACTTGACCATCCTGGTCTATCTTAAGCTCCACTGTTGAATGAACTCTTCTTCCACCATTCTAGTTCACCTTCGTCATATGTGCAATTCTCGAGCCCTTTTAGTTTCAGGATGCCTTACAGTTTTAAAAAAACTTCAAGAAACCCAAGGTCCTTGTTTATGTGGAAATACCTATGAATATTATTACATTATGAATCAT